GTTTTCCCAGATTACTGGGTGGGGGGGTCAGGCCAGTTCTATTTTGTATTGTTAAGAGGAACCCCCTAGATATTAAACCCAGCCTTTGTTGTTCCCAACTCCTCCTGACAAAAGGGTTACCTAAATGCATTCTTTGTGAAGGCTCCAGGTCTCTGGAACTTGCTCCCCCCTGTGGTCTGAAATAGCCCAAATCTGGTGACCTTCTGGGCATGCTACGATAAAAGTCTGTTTGATAGGATTTTGGAAAGGGCTGAAGATACACTTCTCAGAATGATGAAGGGGTGGAAAGGAGTGTTTGGGTGGCTGACAGAATTCCCTTTTGAATAATTGTTTTAATGCTGTTGAAGTTCTGCTCCAGTTTTAATTATTCATTAGGGTACCAAGAGCTTTGTATAGCTGACTTTTTAATATTACTTAAATCAAAATAATTGTTACATCCAACACATATAAAGCAGCGAAGTAAAGAAAATGAAAATCCATAAAATATAGCTCTGACCATAAATGACATGGTCTGCTTTATGCATTTCTTGTAAGAAGTTGCCCAACCATTTTCCTTATCACAGCTGTTGCTTTAATATTTGACTGACTTTCTTCATGTGCCGTTTCTGAAAGATGAATATGAAATAGTAAATTAAATCTTCACTCTCAAATAGGAGATTTCTTCTGATATGTTGTAGAAATAAGGGTTTAGGATACCTCTAAAATGAATTTCTGTGTGGATGCTGTAACTTTTTTTTCACTGCTCAAAATCCTCCTACCAATAGTCCCTTTCCTTGTACTATTAGACAGCTTTGTTTTCATATCAGGACAGAGTATTAATTTGGATAAATTCCATATATTGAACATATTCATTTGACCAGATTCAGCAGTATATCAGTATTTTTAATTTCATTTCATGCGTATTTAGGAATAAAAAATGTCAAATCTGTCCAATATCATCTACATGTATTTGAATTATAACATAAAAGTGTTTTGATTTGTCATATTAAGAATTAACATTTCTACCCTGTCCATTTAAGCAGAATTGAAGATGCCAAAATTAAAAACATTTTCACCCTTCTACTTTTGAAGGGTTCCTGCTTTGATTTTTTTTAAATAACTGAATAAGTGCATCCCAGATTTTCTCTGGGAAAAGAGACAGTCCTATTTACTTACACATTTTCTTAAGAAATCCTGGTCTAAGATGGTATGGTGTTGTCAGATTATATTCCTTTACAAACAATTCATCCTCTGGTAAAATGATTTCCTCCCAACAGGTCGAATGCTACTTGAGCTTGGTTCAAGATACAGCTTCCTTTGGCAACACCATTTTGTGCACTTAAGACACTCCCATGCTTATTATGTCGGCCTACTCCCCACGGAAATGTCAGTTTGCATTTTTCCTTAATGGAGTGCATTAAATGATTTCCTCTCTCTCACCTTTTAAACTCACCCCTCACCACCAGAGAAATAATCCTTTGTTTGTCACAGGGAAGGAGAATATGAGCATTAAAGCAACATTTAGGCACAAGTTTAGACTGTTGAGTTCCAGATAATGTTATTCCCACATTATCAAAATTCTATTCCAAAAAATAAAAAATCAGATAAGCCAAATTATTAACATTTGTTTGTCAAGTTGTACGTTCGGGGATATATTGCTTAGTTGTTATGTAAAAGTTCTTCTTATACTTTAAGGAAACACCATGGTTTAGGAAAGTAAGAGAAATCAAAATTATTTCATTTCTTAAATAGGCAATAAATTCCTCATTCATTTCAGAATACTTCATGTCTTAAAAAGGCAATAAAACAATGTGTCTGCTCAGTTGCAATCTCTTCTGTTGGTGTCTCCTTGTGGAGAGCACTCAGCAGAGATTACATCTATTATTACAATGAGACCCGCTTTCTGTAGAAACACAACTTCTTTGGGGGAGAGAGAGAGAGAGAGAGAATTTAATTATTCCCCATATTAATGGGAGGATCTTCCTGATGTTCATAGATGATCCTGATAATTTACTGATGTTAAAGGGAAGCTTCTTTAATGCTGGGTGTATCATCTTTTGTTTGCCTTAAATAAAGGGCTTATAAAAGGACAAAGCATTTTGCTAAATTCTGTGAAATTCAGTAAATAAAGGAAAGCTTTAATTCATTTACTTAAGAAGCCAGCTGAAAAATATTTGCTTAAAATCTCAGTATGTCTTTTAACCAACTCACTCTTTTTAAAAGGGAGTTCAGAGAGCGTAAGTAAAAACCTTAAGTTTGGATTAAAGCATCTCTTTGCTGCCTGTCATCAGTTCACATCGCTCATCTGGGAATACAGGAGAGGACGGAGAACTAGCTGGCCACAGCAGCCTCCACTGTGCTTTTAATTTTACATAGAGCACTTGGATACTATGGCAATAGTAGCTGCTAAATGCTGATAGATACTATCTCAGTGCAGTGTCTGAGTGAAATTGAAGTCAGATGGTGGGAGTATTGTGGAACATAATTTACCAAATAGGCAGGTTACCAGCTCTTACTATCGTTATTTAGGGCATCTATCCTAATTGTGATGCCATTAGTAGAATGGGGCTGAAAATGTAGTTTGCTAGCCACCAATCTGTCAAAGCTGCCATCCACAGGAAAGCCCACAAAGCGAAGGTTATTGCAATTAATACATACGAAGATCTACAATCCAAGGCCCTTATACAGATGAGATAGTACTGTACAGGGGTGGAATGTTTTTCAAGAGCACACAGCAAAATAAAAGGCTAAATTTAAAACCTTTTCACTTTTGGTGCAACATACCTTTTGATTTGATAATTTCCAATTCTGTTTTAACTATGATAAATGTACTTCAGCTAATTCATATTTCATAGAAAATTTCAAAGAAAGGCTTCAAATACTTATTAAGAGGCATATCTTTTCAAGATCTTGCACACAATTAAAGTGGAGATTTTTTTTTTAAATCCTTAGAAAGAGTATAGAAAAGATTTGGAAGAAGGGATGAAAGGAAAAGGACTGACAGTGTTTGAAGATACTCCGGATTCGATTAGAGTGAAAAATGCAGCCCAGATACTGAATGAGGTATGTTTTGCTGGTGAAGGTTGTTATTGTAGTGGAAAGTTCAGTCTTTACAGGGCACCCTCTGGAAAATATTCTATGTTTTTGCATAATTTAAATGGAAATACTGTATGTTTTGAAACTGGTGGAACCTATATTTTGCAGAAAGAATATAGAAAAGATCTGGAAAATGAAATAAAGGGGAAAGGAATGATACTGATTCCAGATATTCCTGACATTCGGAGAGCAAAAAGAGCATCTGAAATTGTTAGCGAGGTCAGTGGATAAAGCATTTTAAAATATTGGGGTTTTTCTCAGTTTATTGGTTGCTTCAGTTAGTGAAAACTAGTTTCCTCTCTATTGAAAAGAAAGCTGAATATGGTTTAATGGGCTTTTAAAGAAACATTGGCTGAAGATTTTTAAAAAAATCTTGTATATTAAACATTTTAGTTTTTGGAACTGGATATTGGTGCGTATTGGCAAACATCTTGCAACTTACATTTATATAAATGATTAAATATATATTTGTGAAAGCTACTTCCCAAATGCAAAGCTGTTGCTGAAGGACCATTGTTGCTTGGACCTTAAGCCTGCAATTTATTCTGTGCTCATGGATGGGCGCAGGGGTCCGCCTGCACATAACATGTTTCAGGATCTGGGCCTTAGTGCTTACAGTGCTGGCCCAAGTTCACTAACACCAAATCCAGGGCTTACCACCAGATCATGTAAACTTAAATCCACTTGAAGCCCTGCTTCTGTCGATGGCCTTCTGGGAAATGGAACATTTATTGTGACCAGAGTGAGTGTAGATGCATAGGGCCTGCCCTGCTTGCTTCAAGTTAATGAGGATACACATATCACCCAGTACTGTCCTTCTCTCAATCTTTTAAAAAGAAGAAGCCAGGAAGAAACCTCTCCCAGTCCATCCTCAACAGGAGAGGAAAAGCAATCTTAACCCTTTTCACAGGTTATCTTGTCCTTTGTGAAAAAAGCGTGGGGTGAGAAGTGGGGTATGTTACCACTAGGCTGATCAATTTCTTCCACTCAAAAAGAGATCAAGAAGCGAAAGCCTTTTAGCCCAGGCTCTTGGTGCCCTACAATGTAAGAGATGAACCCTTTTTAATTAATAGGAGGGTATAGTCAATGTTCATTGAGCCATATAACTTGAGCAAGAAAAGAAAGAAAATGTATTTATTTTTGATCTGATTGTTTTCAGTAGGTGGAAGAACACCAAAACAGAAAGGAGTGCTCAGTATCGAATAGCTAAGAGCATAACTTATTTGCTTCTTTTATCAAACAGTAGAACTAAAACCAATATATGTAGTGTCTCAATATTTTAATTCCATTTGCTTATGAATGAGAGATGTATATTCTTTGGGTGTGATGAAGATGAAATAGTCATTGCCATTCATGATTACCAGATAGTTATAATTTATAGAACTGAAAAACCAAAGATCATGTATATAAGTATTGCCATTTGTCTAATGAGTGTGGTTCAGCAAAGACCTCATATCAAATTAGTAAATTACAACTTTTTTGCTACAAGAGCTCACTGGAAACTCCTTTGTACCTCATTAGATTTCTACCATAGACCTTTCATAAATAAATTATTTTCTTAAAGGCAGATTATGCTTGTATTGGGAAGACACCATACGTAGCTTGTTACATTACATTCCACAGAGTTTTTAAAAATTCTTTGGAAGATAGTCACTACTATTTATATGGCCTGATTTTCAGACCATATTTTTGTGGCTGCAGTTTTGAACTTGTTGTGAAATAGCTCCCAAAGTTTTGCTCCTACAGTTTGGTTTCCTGGCAGTTCGTTTCAGGTGTAAGGTTATGTCCACAAAAAAGGAGCTCTAGTTTGAAAATCTGGCCCATAAATATGTGGTTATAGTACATCTGATTATTTGAAACTGTATCTTCACAGAAAGAATACAAGAAAGACCTGGAGACTGAAATTAAAGGGAGGGGCATGCAAGTGGGCACAGACACCCCTGAGATACAACGGGCCACGAAAGCTTCTGAAATTGCAAGCCAGGTTAGTACAGTATTTTGTGGAAGCTTTTAATTCAACAGAATATAATAAGCTACCTTTATTAAGAGTTCTGCTTTGTGACAAATCAGCACAGTAATGAATCAAATGTGTTAGGTTTCACAAAATTCATGGTCATGAGCTGATTAGAGTTTGGTGTGACACATTCCAACTCCTGGGAAAAGGTGAAAGTTGCATTACTTACTAACATCATCAGCACCATGATCAGGAGCGGCACCTGCTACCTTGACTAGCTTTTGGGCCTTAAAATAGGGTGCTGCTTGTTTGGCTAGGACTAGATGATAAATGGATGCAGAGATAGGGAAAATGCTTAAGGCCCTGCAGCCTTGATCTTGCACAGTCAGAGGAAGTGATTCATATCTACACAAGCCTCCAGTCAGGACTGTGAAAATGGAAGAGAGAGACTGAGATAAAAGGCTGCATGAAATTTTAGATAACGGTATTCTTAAAAGGATGTTTTAAGCTGGCAACAAGTGGAGTATAGATATACTGTAGGTAGACCCCACAGAGCTAATGCTATTAATATAAAAGCCATTTGGTATTATAAGGATTCTATTCAATGAAGGCACACAGATGAAAGCAGGATCCTTATAAAGCTTTGGCTCTTGTACATCTGAGTATTGCCAATCCTATTCTTCACAGAAAGAATACAAGAAAGACCTAGAGACTGAAATTAAAGGGAAGGGGATGCAAGTGGGCACAGATACCCCTGAAATACAACGAGCCCAGAAAGCTTCTAAAATTGCAAGCCAGGTGGGTACAGAATGAAACATGTACATTATATTTAAAGTAAAATACAATAAGACTTTTAAATATATGTAACTTTAGTGCCCTCGTGGGCAAGATGGAGTCTGCTCTGCAGGCAGCTCTGGCCAAGAGAAGGCGCGCGCAGGAATGCAGCAGGGAAAGTTCCTTCCACCCCAGGGGCACCTGTTCCAAACCCCCCAGAGTGAACACACACACACCAGAATAGTACAATGAATATAGGAAAGGGAAATATTTATTTACAGAGGGATAAAAGGAGGAAAACAACAGGGGGAAATATAGGGGGAGCAGTAATACAGGGTTGCATTCAACTCAAGGCCTCACAGGGCCCGTGGTACCACAGTCTGAAAGGAGCAGGACCCAGCAATGTGTCTGCACACAGAGTTCAGGAGTCCTGGGCAAAGTTCCAGTCCAGTGGTGAGTTGTGGGTGCTCCTGGTCGTTGTCAGCGCCCGTAAACTTTCCCCAACAAACCCCTCTGATGCCCTCTTCTGCCGCTCTCTGCACAGCCACACAGAGCAACAACCTTCCCGCTTAACTAGCTAACAGCCTCCCTCCTTATTCCCAATGCAAAGTCACAAGCCCCAGTACTCACGGCCCCATGCAGCTCTGGTTTGTCCTTCTCAGGTGATTCCTCCCTGTCACAGTGCTCCTCCTGGCTCCTATCCTGGGGTGTCCCCAGTTGGCCGCTCTGTCCCTCCCAGGCTTCAGGCAGGTTCTTGGCTCCTTCTCTCCATGATGGCCAGCTTGCTGCAGGCCTTCTATCTGGAGCTCCAGACACACACAAGTCATTCTCCCCTCTCTCTGATGCTCCCCATCCTCAAACAGCACTTCCTCCTTCTGGAACAATCAACATTTCCCCTCGCAGGAAAAAAATTTAAAGGGGCCATGCTCTCTAAACCCCAATGGGATTACATATATATATATAGAGTCATGTTGAAAGTTGACTGAACTAAGCGTAGCTTGCAAAAAAACTAGATTGTACAGCTACCGCCCATTGTTTGGAATCCAATGAGTGTTACAAGAATTGCTCTAAAGATAGCACACAAATTACAGGTACAACAGCACCTACACTAAATGTTAGGATTATTGTAGATTTTAGGATTATTGAAGTTATGGCTTTTGCAGAAAGAATACAAGAAAGATCTGGAGACTGAAATTAAAGGGAAGGGGATGCAAGTGGGCACAGATACTCCTGAGATACGAAGAGCCAAAAGAGCTTCTGAAATTGCAAGCCAGGTGAGTACAGAATGAAGTTTAAGTAAGTGTTTTCATGTCTCACAAGAGTGTGCCCTAGGCACACATTGTGCAGTGCATGCCGCATTACCTCTTATTAATTAGAAGAATCCATACTGATATTAAATATATTTACATGTGGAAGCCACATGTGGAACTAAAGTTTTTGGGCCTGATTTTCATTTACACTAAGGGCTTGTCTACACTTAAAACACTGCAGCTGCATGTTTCAGTGAAGACATTAGCAATGCCAATGGGAGGGGTTCTCCCATTAGTGTAGGTACTCCACCCCTCTGAGAGGTAGCTAGGTCAACAGGAAAATTCTCCCATCCACCTAGAGCTGTCTACACTGGGGGTTAGGTTGGTTTAACTGCGTTGATTAGAGATGTGGATTTTTCACACCCCTTAAGCGACATAGTTATACCAACCTAATTTCCTAGAGTGGACTAGGCCTAAGGTCCCTTTACACCACTCTGGCAGTGTAAAGGGGCTGTTAATTGGGACTAAATCGTTTACAACTATTTTAATGCGCTTTTACATTATCAGAGTGAATACACATTTTGGATGTTCTAGCCGTAAGCAGAGATAATATGACCATGGTAAAATGGTGTTTTTCAGAAAATGTACAAAGATGAAGCAGGGAAGATGCTCTGTAACTACTGTACCATACCAGATACTCCAGAAATTGAGAGGATTAAGAATACTCAGAAAAACATCAGTTCAGTGAGTAGCAGCAGTTCTGCTTTTAGAAGTGATTTTTCACATATGTTCAGTGTGAAATGAGCTCTCTTGTGTCCTGGCATAAAATGGGAATATTCAAGTAATTGTCCTTCAACCGTATGCATAGTTTTGCAATGGCAAAGACCATATCCCTATTTCTTTTAGAAAGAACACCTGTCTTTGCTAGACTTGACACTAATATTTTGAATTACTAAATCATGATGCTACCCTCACCAAGACACAATTATTTTTAACCGAAGAATTTTTTTTATCAACCCCTGAAGATAGCTTTATTACAAACTGTGTATTAAAAGGAGAAGAAACCTGGAGTGGCACCATTGTAAGTATAAGTTTTGTCATATGGTTATGGTCTAAAACTAGAAGAAAGCCTGTTACAAAATACATTTGACTTAAAAATATTAGTTCAATGGTTTTATGTTACATTGGACAAGAGATAGGTTTTTTACTTTATGCTAGATCCAAGTTTTAGTTTACCGCTAAATAAAAATCATAATGGCTCAGATTCCTAAAATTTCCCACTTTGTTGCCTATGTATTCAGTCCTCTTCACTTTTGTATGTTCATTAGTTCTGCTGTATGTAATGCTCACTATACTTCTAATCTAATAGTGGTTTCCCAAAAGAGAAAATGAATACAGGGAATTTAGTTTATGTAACCAAAGACTGTCCAGTTACTTATTATTCTGGCTGACTCTTTGTAAAGGTCAGTAGGATGTCTGCTGGCTAATGTACTAATTTCCCAATCATTAGCTCAGAAAGAGCCAGTTGTCTAGAGGTAAAGGAATTCTATTAAAGCTGGTATTGTAAATTAACCTATGTTGTATTGCAACAAAATTTCAACATGTAAACAATGTTGCTTGAAATTTTTACCACTATCTGACCAGAGAGGTGACATTCCTGAGTATTGCACGTCATTTTAGCTACTCAACTACATTTCACTTCAAAAACAGGCTTGCTGCTAAATCTTTGTTCAGTTTAGCTATATCACCCTCAACATTGCAGCATCAGAAGCGGAAGCAGGGGCCTCCAGGGAAAGGAGAGAAGAGAGGCCTCTGAGATAGGTTTGGGCAGTGGAGGCTCGTGTAGCGTCTTCCTGCCATCACCACGACTCCAAGCGACTGCGGTTGGGAATAGTCTCTTCTCCTTTCAGAGAAGGGATTTTGAAGCACTGAACCTACTGGTTTCTGATACTATTTGCTGATGGGCCCAGCTGCCTCAGTTCTTGGCTTGCCATATTTGCTCCTTCCTGCTGTTTGTTGCCTCGTGTTTGAACACTGCTGTGCAATGTATTATGGAGGCATGTTTTACGCTATGTCTCATGTTACAATAACACAGTAATGTGCTAAATTCAAACACAAAAGGTAAAAAAGGGCAACCTGAGCTAGGCCCTCCCTGAATCCCATCTCCTGGCCCCACTCTTCCCCAGCAGTTGTCGGCGGGAAGAGGGCAGCAGATGGATCTGTGGGTCTAAATTCTATTGGGATTTGAGCCCCCTGCCAGTTGGGACTCAGAGCCATACAATCAATCTGCCACTGTTTGGAGGAGTTTTGGCAAGCCTCAAAGTCCTGGAGCCTCCTAGGAAATTCCAGTAACTCTGTAAGGGCCAGCATGAGCCTGCAACACTGTGGCTTTTTAAAAAAATGCCCCCTTATATTTAGCTAATTATTTAACAAAAGCATATACCTTTATTTCTGAGATAAAAGTTCTGAACTCTGTCTCTTAACTGCACCCTCTCTCTGTGAAACCAGCCCATAATTGGGAACGATATGTTAATATACTATTGGCTCGTTCTCTTTACCTTCTGACCTTTTAGTTTCCTGTGCAGCTTAGATTAATAAAGGTAAGTTATTAAGCAATCTAGTGCTAAATAACTAGGGATGGTACTAGAGGCAACCACACTAAAGAAAAATTGGGACATTCTTTGATCCTCCTTTTATTTATGTTTCTCATTAGTTTGGCAGTATCTCACACCTGGACTTTGTCAGGGTTAAAGAGACGGAGTTCCTTCTCTGGCTAAAGAGGACAAAACAAACAGCTAGCTTTGCAGATCGAATCAGTGCTTCTTTTTGTTTGCCAGCTGGAAGTGCTTTCTTAGCACAACTGGCTCCAAATGATATGTCAGATCATTCACAGTAGGATCTTAACTGCACAGTCATCTCTTTCATAGTAAAATTCATGGTCCAATATGTTTTATACCTCTGATCGAGGAAGAAACAACATATTTTGGTTTAATGAGTACTGTATGTAAATCTCTTTACCTCCTTTTAACAAGTTTGTGCATTTTAACAATTTTAAAGAACTTACTCATGAGCTGTCTCTTTTCACATGGTAAAATTCTACATAGCTGAAGATTTTATTACATTAAAAATCAGATATGTGCATGTTTCACCCTCATCTGAAATACTGGGTAATACTGTTCACCCCACCCCAAAAGGCCATTGCCAAATTAAGAGTTCAGAGGAGTGAAGCAAGAATGATTTAGTGCATGGACAAACTCTCCTATGAAGATAGATTGAAAAGATTGAGGATTGTTTGCCATAGAGAGGAGGTGAGTAAGAGAGGACATTATAAAAGTAAACAGAAGGTAGACTGGAAGCTTTTGATCTCCTCGTCTCATAAGACAAAAACAAGGTGACAGCTAATGATATTGAAAGGTGGTAAATTCAAAATTCTAGCATAAATAAAGGAATGCTTTTCACAAAATGTGTAATTACACTGTGGAACTCATTGCCACAGAATGTCTTTGAGACCCAGAATTTAGCAATATGGATGACAAGAATATCCAGAGTTGTTATAATTAATACTAAAAAAAAAAAAGGGTTTGAAAGGATATAAAAGCCTCATGCTTCAGAGTTTAAGCCCATCCCTAATTATTAGGGTCTAGAATAAGACTTTCATGAGGACAGATTATTCCTTGTCTGACTACTGTGGGGTTTCTTGCACCTTACTTTCAAGTATCTGGTGCTAGAGATAGGTTACTAAACCAAGGGCCTTATCCAGTCTGATTGTTCCCATGTTCCTAAAGAGAGAGAAACGTTGTGTGTGGGTTTTGCACTTATGCTTCATTATTTATATTTACTGAGGAAAACCAGAAAGCTCAGTAAGTCTTGGTTTAGGAAAGACAGAAATACTAAATGTTAAAGCTTTATTCTGTGAAGTCATGAGTCAAACTTGGTTTTATACTACATTGAATGGCAACATTGGCGACACCTATTACTCAAATTCCAGACATTTTTCTTTCAAATGAAATTTACCTGAAAGTTGTGCAATCTGCAGTGGTACATGAGGCTTATTTAAAGTATGGCAGCTCTTGGGTTTTGTTGAATACTGTCTCCTTCAATACCTTGAGTTATTGATTGTATTTATGCATTGTGTTTTGACCCCTATTAAAACCATTGGAATAAAGACAGGTAGTATAAAAATAGAATGGTATTTTTACAGATAAAAGCTTTGTTTTCAGTTGTAATATGTAGTCCTGTGGCTAGAAGATCTTGGATTCTAGCTCTGACTCAGCTTGCCATTTAATCAACCTATACCTCAATATTACAGTCTGTAAATGAATAATAATATTTGTCCACCTTTTTAGACTACTTTGTGATCTAGGGATGAAAAAGGCAACATAAAGTCACGATCTTGAAAATGCTTATTTTTGTGAGTCTTTCCATTGCTTTCAGTGAGATTACTTAAACTTAATGTTACATGTGTAAGCATGTGCAGGTTCTGGTCTAAAATCTATTATTATTTAAAGTTAAAATTATCAATAGAAAATCTGTAAGAAATTGAGATCAAAAGGATGATGATGATAGATTACCTGGCTTACCTGTGGATATTAAAAAGTACAGAAAGATAGCTGACCTTTTATTAATGTTAGTGATAATTGAGCTGATTTTTGAAAAATTAAAATATTTGCTTTTCTTGAGTTATAGTCAGACAAGGTTAGAACTTGGAAAATTGCCTAGGTCTTTTTTATGAGAACTGATGCTTGCATGCCTAAGTGGCTCATAATTATTTTTTTCTTTTTGTATATGAAGGTGTTTTATAAGAAGGGAGTAGGCTCTGGCACAGCAGTCAAAGAGACTCCTGAGATTGAACGAGTAAAGAAAAATCAGCAGAATATTAGTTCAGTAAGTGTTAGCAACATTAATTGTGCTTCCCCAGAGAAAAGAGTGGTCAATTTTTTTTCATTTTATTATAAATATTACCTTTTCCTATCCTTCACCGTATTCAAATGCTACTCCATCAGCTTTCCAAGGTTTAATGCGCT